CTGCCGTCTTGTGCCGATAGGTTTCGTTAGGGTTACGTATGGTAAACACGGCCCGAGACTTTTGCGCGTGATAACTTATGGTGTATCTTTTTATTATAGAAGGCGTTGGAGTGGCTATATTTTATTAACCGCTACTGTATAGGTAAGTTTTGCAGTGTTTATCAAGCTCCTTATAGAAGGCAATAACCAGCAATGACGTATGAGTAAGAAAATAATATAATTTCTAAATGTGATTGTCTATTATTTAAAAAATGAAGATACTAATTTAACTGAAACTAAGCAATGAAAATTATTATTTTATTTTCTGTCTATGACAAAGATTAAAATTCTTGACTGTTTTGGTCTTTTTTAAAGACAGAAAATTCTTTAAATCTAACTGTTTTACATAAAAATACAATATGATTGCAATATTAAGGTGCACTTCTCCGTTCAGAAGTGGGGATGTAAGAATGTTACTTTTCTATATCGCATAGAAAAATGCAATCATGTATTTACATTTGTGTGAACAATTAACATTAAAATGCACTAGAGTGATTTCATATTTTAACCTATACGATGCACTCCCCGTCCAAACCTCCACAGATGTTGCAATTCAACATACAATTTCTGAAGAACTTTGTGCCTCGTCATGCCAGCATTAACACAATTTTCAATAAATGCGCCAAAATACTTTGTAGTAATAAATGTAATTATTACTGTGGGTTTTCATATTGTTTAATTAAACATTTCCTTCAGAAGATGATTTTGAAATTACTTTTGTAAATAAAGATTTTTTTAATAAATTACACATTTTTTTTATTATCAACTTATTGCATGCGATTCAAAAGCTGTCAGGGATGCATGGTTTATGACTGGATTCCCGAATAAAATTTCAATTTAAAAATTGTTGCCAACAATTGACACCCCAACTGATTCTGACTTATGAATGAGTGAAAATTAGAATATTATATCTGAGATTAGCCGCATACGTTTCAGTCTTTTAATATTTTAATTAAAGGTAACAGATGTTTGATTCATATTAATATGTGAGCTGCCTTACCAGGATCCACAGCGTGAAGTTGAGTCTGCATCATCGGTGACAGGAAACATTGACTTGATTTCATTTGAAATATTTGTTGAGTTCATTGGCCTAGCTCTTACATTGCTAAAGTATTTATTCGTAGGTTTCTTTATGAAATTTCTTCATATAGCATTATGACGGAGACACTTTATCCCTAATGAGAAGTTGAATTCTTACAGCTATAGTATTTTAGAAGTTGAATTTTTATAGCTATAGTCTTTTACAACTATAGTGTTATACATATTTATTCGAATGATCGTCAAAATAAGATCTCTAATAGTGTCATGGACAATTGTTTTAAATACACCAGTAGTTTTTGCACATTTGTGCGTGAAATTGTCAAAACATGAATTTGTTTGCTTGTCTACAGCAATGTGCTTGCAATACGTATTTTGTTTCGCACTATTTTGCATTATTATAAAATCTTAAAAATAAAATAAATATGTATAATTGAAATTTCGGTGTATAATTTTTAATTTCCTATTATGTTCAGTAAATATGATAATTGAAACTGTAAATAATGTGCAAGAGATGTGCATGAGCTCATTTGGACCCGAAGACCTTAAGAGGGAGTAAATAGTAGAGTAGGGGGGCAGCCGGGTTAAGTTAATTGTAGCATTATCATTTTTGTAAAACACAATAAATTATATTCGGGACAGAATTCAGAAGTGCCCCCTTCCAACGGCGCCTCTCCTCAACGATTCCGAATGGCGCGTCTGCTGGCAACGCATTGGTTTAAAATGAGGTATTCACGCGAGCGGCGTAGTCGCCCTGCTGTGGAGCTTCTTGGTGAACTCCCGCCACTAGCAGCGCAACTGCTACCTGCTACCGCGCCACCGCCAGTAAAAGACAGGTCTGAATGGAAGCCTTCACACTAGACCACTCAATCTGTATTTACTTGCTGGCGGCCTTTCGGCCAGTGGAGCCCACAACGCCGTGACCCCTCTCACCCGGACTGTGGTGCTGCATGCTGCATGTGAAGGGCTCCGCTGCTTCACGGTGGCGCCACCGAGTGGCTCCGTATGAAGGCTGTCTTAGTTATATTGGACTTAAAACTGTTATTCATAAGGAGCATAGCGAATCTATTAAGCAATGTTTTGAGCTGCAGAGTTAAAGCATTGTTTCATTTCTAGAAGATATTAACGCATTGTAATTCAACGCCTCTTTATATATTAGAAGAAGAATATCGAATGAATATGGACCATATTATTGTTACTAATTCGTAAAAAAATATGTTAATTTTTTAAACTAAGTAACATGTATTACAGATATACTCGTTTAAGTTGGTACATTTCAGACTTCGGTTTGTATTTCTTGGAGAGACATTTCTACACATACCTAAAACACGTATCCACTGCTATTTTAAGGGATTTAATTAACTTTATTTGCACCGCAACTATTGCGAGTATAGCGTACACCAGAACGGCTCAAACAGACGTCAAACTCGGCATACCCTGGCCTTGCACTTAAATGCCTGGAACCGGTTTGGTCTGCTGGTTGTTTAGTCATCAACACAGCCATGATACGATGGAGGTCGGGCGCTTTCCTCTCGCAGCTCGGAAAGGTGAGATGCAGCTTAAAGCTCTCAGCAGGTACTATTGCATTTGAGCAGCTCTAGTTAACAGTTGGTGCTGAAAAACAACGCCGGCATGTGCAACACGCACGTCACTCATAGTTCTCTTGAAGAGATGTATTATTTATCAGATCTAGAAAATTTCAATTTAAAAAAAATATTTTGTGAAAATCCTTTGTGTTTATGGGCAGTATGAGATAAATGTGAGAGATTGTTTTTGAGATAGTTTACTTTCTTTTCATTACACATTTACGTTGTAAAAAGATATTATAGTAATATCTTTTTACAAAGAAGTAAAATCTTTTTACAACGTTTTTATATATAGTATAGTATAGTAATTCTTCAGTGAAAAGTGTCAATGTTGACAGAAAACTGGTATTGAGTTTATCATATCAAAAAAGTGGATACATATTCTCGTAAAAATCGCACAGGTCCGATTTTGGTTGGATTATTTTTTCCGAGTCTCTACAACTACAATATTGAAGACAAACATTTTTTTTCTTATGAATGAGATCAACTCTTCCAAAATTTACCTTCATGTATCTCGTGTATCATTTTTCGAAAATACGAGTTGTTTCCACTTATTTTTGCTTAAAATAAAGGGAAATTTCGAAACAAGATCTCCTCAAAAACGGCTCAAATATTTTTCTTTGCTTTTTATTGGATAGTGCAACTTACACTTTTAAAAATGTCGCAAATGTGACATTTTTGCATTAAACTATCTGAATTTTTGAAAATTTCAAAAGTTAAAGAGTCGTGAAAAAGTGTGTGTTGCTGTAGTACCACTACTTTCTTAATACTTGTAAAATCTGTTCTCTAATACTAGAATTTGAAATAATGTTTATTATTAATTCTGAATTTTTGAAAATTGTATATGTTTAATTTTATTTTTAAAGCATTGGGAAGGGTGTGCTTACCTGTGAGACTAGTAGTGTAAGGGCAGAGTGAGTAGCGTGCTAAGCCTAAGAATCTTAGTTCAAACACCAGTGCAAATGATATTGATGGTTGAAACATTTTTGCAGGTTAGTGTAGCATTAAATATCGTATATCTTTTACAAATAATGTGAGAATGAATGTGCTGCTATACTACCACTACTTACATTTTGGGTAGAATTCAATCTGAGAATACAAACCCTGGTTCCAAGTGATGTTTTTCGAACATCAGAACGGACCTTCATTTAGCCGTTTATGAATACTGTTGTTTTTGGAATGTATTTATGACGCAAAAATTATCTCTTTTAAATTAGGAATACATTCAGAAAAAAAAAACATCTCCGGTTGTAAAACAACTGGAAAAGTAGAGCACCTCATCTCGTAGAGAGGCTTACTGAAAATAACCATGAAATACCAACTTTGTCAACAAATTTACAGATACATGACTGGCATAAATAACTGGTGTTATTTCCACGCTGTAATTAACTTCCAGTTTACCACAAAACAACACGTGATAGGAATAAAATGAAAACAAGGGGAACACACAATGGATAATACCACAAACCAACTACCGTGTTTCATTCATGATGTATGAAAAGACTGCAACACTTCTCCAGGTACTCAAACAGTGGGGCATAAAATGCGAGGAAAACCATCCGAGTCGCTTTGTTATTCCGAGCAAAACCAACTTGTTCAAACTGTTTGTTTGGCTTGCACGGCTCGTGGGATTGGGGGAGGATTGGTCAGGTTCAATAAGAGGAGCTGGCTGAGTGATTCACACAGTTTATTTCACAACGCTTATACAGTCTACAAGAGAAATACCTCGGGCATGCGACGTTTCGGAGCCAATTACCGGACCAAGGTACTCCTGGCAACACTGGTTCCGCTCGTCCCCGAGTATTAAATGTTGATGGGTTTGCGCTGAATATCCTGGCGGTAAGAAGCACAGGCAGGACTCTCAGGGCAGTTTCTGTTTCTCTTTGCAAAGTGGCAAGGGCTCTCTGCCTTTTCGTGATACATTTCGTCGTAACGGACTTAGACAATGCCCTGTCATACATGTTAGTGTTATGCATTTATATAGAAATTGATTAAACAACAGTCACATGATAACGATAATACAATGAAACTGCTTGAATTTGTAATGACACAACGCAAGAAGGCCTACTTCTATAAATGTTACACCTGAAAATATGTAAAACACATAACACGCTGTATGCAATACACATTGGTTAAACCATCAACAGAGGGTAGGTTTACAGAAAAGCAAAATTAGAGAAGCGGAAATTGCAATAGAAGGTTTTGATATTTTTAAGTTTAGTTATATAGTATTTTAATCATTTTTATATCCATTTCTTAGTCCACTTCCCAAAGTTTAGAGAAAGCATGTCAAATATCTCGATATCTTTTCAATATTTCTCTCCAGGAGAACCATCATAATATTATATACAATTTTAAAACAAAATAGTCATTTTTTTGAAATTTGAAAACATTTTTTTCAAAAACACCAGAACATTTGCCTTTGCTTACAAGATCAATAGCTTCAACTGGGCACTGAACCAAAGAGGAAAGAACACATGGAACACGAGGTTTCATGGAACGACAAATATGTACATGGGCGGCGTCTTCGCCTCAGTGTTCGGCAAAGTGTCACTGGCACTCGGCAGTTGGCGCAGCGCTGGCGGCGGAGGTTTTGGCGCTGGCGCTGGCGTTGGCGCTGGTGCTGGCGCCGGGGAGTGGTGCGCAACATCGGCGACGGCGGCGTCAAGACGAGGGCCGCCGCAGCAGCACCAACGGCACCAACAGGGCCGCCAGGGCACCAGCGCTCGGCGCGGCCGCAAGAGGCGCTGCTGCGACAAATGCAACGCGCGTGCGCAGTTTGTATCAGTAAGAACAACGTAAGGTGTTACGGAATAAATGTTACAAACTTCTACAGCATACACGGGGGTCGAAGATGATTAAGTTTCGTTAATGAATAAAGGTGTGTTGAGAAACTTTGTACATTGAATTTACTTCTCTTGCTTCAGATTGATAGGTAACCCATCATGAATTGGAGTTTGCAAGTACATGAAATATTTTTGTCTGCATCAGAACGTGAACTGACAAACGTTAGCATACGCTGAGTTGCCTACAAAACATAGGCAAACGACACATGGGTAACATTTTTCACTCCCTCCACACACACAATGCTGTAGCAAGCATATTTCTGAAAATTATTTTTGACCCCCTGTATGTTTCATTTCAACAGCAACTACATTCAATTCAATAGTTAGGTTTGATATACAACATCTAGGTGCTCGGGGTGCAGGAGAGAAGATGCAGGACACGATAAAAGAAGCAAATACAAAAGGAAGTTAAGAGGGTGTCACTGTATTAATCCACTAACATCAACACAAAAACTATTAATAATGCAAATATTTCTCTTTACTTAATAATTCAATTGCAATTATTTAGGTAAGGAAAAAGAAAAAAATGCTGGTCCAAAATAACATTATTTCTTCGCCTAAAAAACTGTAGTGGCAGCTGAAAATTTAAGTCTTCGTGTGTCAGAGAAAGATTTAGGGCCTCACTGACTGAGGACGACGAAAAATTACACATGTAAAATAAAATGCAATACACAATGCACATGTTAAATAGACATAAGAAAGAATATGGTTTTATATTAACATTTTAAAATGACAAATCATTTAATACTACATACAAAAAATAATTAAATATATTAATAGTTAAATAGAAATAATCTACAGCAAAAATATATTTTTTTCTTTTTTTGTGAAAAAGTATTCCTATTTACCCATCCATATGACTTTCACACGATTTTTGTGGTAACAGACGAATTTAACTATATTTTATAGTTCTTAGATAGTGAATTTTATATTTGGACAGGTGTCATAATGAATTATTTGGGGTCTCGAAATTTTTTGGGACTTAGGGCCTCAAAATGTGTAAATGCCCCCACGCATGGTGGGTCCTGGAATATGTTGCGCTCCATATGCATTTCATTTCCTATTTCAAAATGCGCACGGTGACAGGTATGTTTGTCGACGGTCGTTACTGACGCAATATATCTGATACCTCCCGGACCTACATTAATTACGAGGCTGCCATCGTACACTGTCGCTGTGACCTTTGAAACTGCAGATATATTGCATCTCTGAAAATAAATGGCAATAGATTAATAACGATCTGTTACTTGAATATTCTACTTGAAAATACAGTTAAATGCAGCAGTATTTCAAGTTCATAAGAAAACGTTGTACCTGTTAAAGTGTATTTCTTTAATTATTTTTATAAAAATAATGTTCATATATTTTTTATGTGTTAGTGCTTGCAACAGTTCTATAGTTCAAGCTATTCCACTGAGAATGAAACTCCATAAACAGTGTAAAAAAGTTTTGTATATGTATGATTTAATACAATTACTGTTCTTGCAAATCTTTGTGTGCAATTTAGCAAAAATACCTTAAGGACATTATGTTACACATCCAATATTAAATTCAATTGCGAGAGCAATATTGCATTGAAGTGCTGAGTGTTTATTTTTCTGAATACGTGAGGGATGATTTTTCTCGTTACTGTCGGTACACAGGTGTCTAGAAGCTCCCTTTGCAAACAAGTTACCGAGATTCTCTGTTAAAAATTGTCTTCGAGAATGTTGGGTCTAAAAGTCACTTCTTAGCGAGAAATTTAAGCTGCCCACCGCTGATGCCGCGGCTTTTCCTACAAAGTTGTGTGTTACCACGTTGCTTCGTGTTATCGGCGAAACTGTCGAGAAATTGTCTTTGGGGTAAGCATCACGTATCACCCACAATAGTTTAAAAGTATCGAGTGTTGTATGCATTATATTCAATCAATCTAAGAGAAACCGCACTGTCTTTGGTGGTGTGGCAGCCTGTGTTCTTTACAGGCCCAGAAATGACTTTCTGGGAGACAATTATGTTTTCGAAAACATTGGACCTACCATTCTTTATGAAACTGAACACAAAATCTGGGGTATTTTGTGTAAAGAGAGCTTCCGTTTACCCTATAGTTTAAACTTAAAAAAAATATTTTGATACAATTAAATCTATTAATATTAAATTACATTTTCTTGAAGAACGATTTTTACAAACGTGGTCCTGTAATTATTAAGTGTAAATAGCAAGCAATTAACAATGAAAACACTCATATAATCTCTTGTAGTATTGGGAGAATCCCAGTCCACAGTCGTGATTATGTTCTCATGAAGAAAAACAAAACAATTAATGTGAATTCTTTACTTGCAGTACAATATCCTTGATTGAAATTTTGTATTTTTAATTTTAAACATTGCCACCTACAAGAGCAGCTATAATTGATGAGCGCTGAATACATTTAAGGCATTTACATGATGCAGAGTCTACAATTACCAACAAAGTACGAATGAATTTTTGGTATTCCAAATATATATATATATAATATATTATATATATATATATATATATATATATAATATATATTATTGTATTATTGAATGGTAAAACGTTTTGATAAAATTGAAGTCAAATAGCACAAATGTTATATATATATTTCAATGAGGTGAAATTAGTTAAAATTCAATATATCGGTAGAATTGTAAGTACAAAAATTCTATTTTCCTACCAGACAAATGAAAAATAACCAAAATCTCCATGGAAGCTTCCTGCGTTTATAAAATACGAATTACTGTATATGAATATTATTACGGTATGTAATTGCAGGTATTTCATTCATCTAACGTAGTGAATTTCAATTTCATTGCTTACCAGTCAACATAGAATGCGTACTTTCTATACCACATAAATCGAACAAGAATGAGCAGAGCATACATCGGAGTTGGCATTTGATTAATCGCATTTTCGCTCTTCAGTTCGCACTTCCAGTTATGCGAGTATTGATATGAATGCCAATGAAATGCAAAATGCGGTACTTGATGTCAGGAATAGATATTTATAACGGAATATCTAATTAAATTAAATAATTGCTTATTAACGAGCGTTCATGCAGCACATTTATATATTAAAAAACTAAATATCTATTAATAAATGTCATTAATATGAGGAATGCCTACAATTACTTTAAAGGATTGTATGAGGGAGCTGAGTAAGTATGTATGCAATGCAGTTTTTCAAACATTATGCACATTTCTGTTTATTCATATTTAAATTCCGTTTCATGCATTTTTATTATTACTTAAAACAATAACATACCAATATTGGTAAGTTGTCAATACATTGCACTTTCAATTTCAACTCACTTGAAATATTATCTTTTAAGAGAAACATAACTAATTAAGGCAAGTCTTTTATTGAAGAACTAATGATAATAATAATCTTATAAGTTGTATTTAACATGCACGCGAAAAGCCATGAAAAATCGAAAAATACTGTACCGAAATAACAAAACTTCCGTCGAAAGCGCGAGTTAAAACTTGAAAAGCAATGTTTATCCTCAAGAGAGTTTATATGCATACTAGAGTATTTTAGTCGGGGCAAATTGCGTAATTCGTAATTAACCTGGATTAGCATTTATACAAGGGCCGTGGATGGCGACAGGAACGACCGCGCGTTGCGGTCACAAAAGTTGTGCGCGTTCGTCAGGGGGGGGGGCTGGGGTTGGAGGGGGGGCGTCGCTGCGACGAAGTACGCAAATACATATGTTCTTTATCATTCCAGAGAAAACCTCAAACACAGGTGGATATCTTTGGAATTGTGAATGTTACATCAGCGAGTTTAAATGATGTTTGTGATATGAGGTTTAAAGTTTCGTTTCCATAAACTTTTAAGTGTGATTTTAAACGTTGACGGTACAGTAAATAGTCGGGCAAATGTTTCATCAAAGGAGTCAGAAGCGAATCAATAGTAATCGACCAATACCAAGCAGGTAAAAGTGGAAATCAATTTTTACACTAAGCATGAAAACGGAATGCAATTGGTCTATGTCGACTTATCGTAATCCATCACTGCCTAGCAGCTACGTCGCTACATCACCCCGCCCATTTCTCCATCGAACTTCCATTTTAGACTTGTTCATCTCCTCTCCACCCTGTCAACGTCGAGCCGCTTCACCGTCTGAGTTAGCTCAGTTACCTCATCCGATGCCACATATTCGCCGACTGAGGAGGTAGATAAAAGGCTTAGGAAACTTTAGCCGCGGGATGCAGTCGGTATTCGACCCACGCTAAGAACCAGGGGCGGCCGGCTGAGGCGAGGAGTGCGTGTCAGCCATTTTGGTCTTTAGGTCTGCGAGTGTAAGACATATTGAAGCCTGGTGGCCCTTCCCTGCTGGAACGTGATGTCAGGGGAACGTGGGGTTTTTCCCTTCACGTATCTCCTTCAAAGGGACACCGCCTCTGATGAGACCATCCCTAAGCTCCCGACCGGTCTTCCGGCATGTGTGTTAGTACTTACTGCATGTAAGTGCGTGTAAGTAAGGGGCGAGGATAGACAAAGAAAGGGAAAGGTAAGATCACGCGCGCTTCGCGGCCCGTTTGTTGGGCATTCGCCTGATAATTAAAGATGTTGTCATTGCCAACAATATTATTTAATTCAATAGCA